CACTGAGTTTTAGGGATTTTTTTTTTTTTTTGCAGGTTATTAGAGTAGTTGATGCTCGAAAGGGTGCGGCTGCCATAACAAAACCTTAAATATGGTTTTGGGACCAGGTTTGGTCCCACTGGGTCTGGGACCAGGCAATCAGGAGCAAGGAAACATTTACAGGAAGGAGGCTGGAGAATGGTGAGGAAAACTTGGGAAAGGCAGCCTGTGTTAAGCAGTGTAAAACATTTAATAAAACTGCTGAGGGCGAAGATCCAAATGGCAGAAATTTTAATAAACTTTTGTTAGAGTTGAGAGAAGACATCTAGAAGCAGAATGTCAAAAGTAGGACTTTCGGATACTCTCACCCTCGGCCGGCCTGTGTAGTGAGCTGGCTGCGAGATACGACGAAAATCACACGAAACAAATAATTTTGAAAAGCGAAAGCRGGACGGCTCAGCGACCTTAAGGGTCGCTGCTTCCACACTGGAAGGATCGAGAGAGAGCCAGCGTTTTTTATTTATATATGGGGGATACACAAAGGCTTTTCCATAGAATATTCTTCACCAAATAAGGCGGGGGGGGGGKGTGCTGTCCAGCACAACTCCAGAGCTACAGAGCAGCCTCTATAGCCAAGCAAAGACTGAGGTCATGTGCTTTGCAATAATAAGCCACAAAATGACTTGCAATGCCGGACCAAAATCTCCTTGGCTTCAAAGCCAAGTAGAAGCTATGCAAATAGCTCAGAGGAGGCACCCCACAGGATACTAGATAAATTTTTAAAGTTATTACTACAAGAAAGACATGCTCTGAAAAAACCTGAGCAGTTTTGCAATAGCTAGAAAGAATAGTCTAAAAATTGCTAGGTTGAAAAATAGAAGTTTATAATCTTCAGCCTCCCTAATCAGTAAAATGCTTAAATTAAAATATGATTTGCAAGCAAAAACCTAATTAAGGGTATAGGTCCTTTGAACTGACAAAAGGGCTTCTAGAAAGATTAGGGTGTGTTCCTACACAATCCTGTGGAATCTGTACACAGACGTGTCAAAAGGAATTATGAGTGCGGCTTTTGTCATATGGCATTGACTGGAATAAAATACACAGAAAATTCACAATGTTTTCAAAAGCTATTTATTAGCAAAAGTACCTCCAGCCTGCATTAAAAGAAGCAGAGATTTTCCCAACTTTCTGTGGGAATGTATGAAGCTGAGAAAGCTTATCAGCCACTAATATGTGTATACTCTTCAAATGCTTTTAAGGCACTCTTCAGAATTAACCAAGGGAGTTGTTGGAAAGGAAGAATTTCCAAAGGGCAGAACCAAGACCTGTAGAGAATGAACTGAGAAAACCATTCCCAGAAGAAATCAAGGGCCTGATCTAGAAACATACCTAAATCCCAGGGGAGGGAGATCTTACAATGTTTGCCCAATGGGGCTTCAGAATTGCTATGGGCCAGTGACCTCCTCCTTCTCAAATGACAGTGCTTATTGCAGTCACCTTATTCCTGTTCTAAAATAGTATGCTGGGAGTGGGGGTGAGGAGGCAGATAACTGTGTCTTTTTAATTCATAGGTCTTGGAATCCAGAGGAACGACATCCAGGCCTGATGTAGATCATGAGACCTTGGACTTGGAGCCTTATAAGGCTTTGAGTCTGGATGAGACTTTGGAGGATTTGGGGATTGGGGGTGAATGTGCTTTGCATGTGGGAGGAAACCACATAGCTGTTAAGAAGGCAGACTTTGGTCAATTCACTTATTGTTTTCAATCCTTCACTCCTCCCTGTGTCCCAAGCCTATTGGCATGACTTGTAGTTTATTCCTCTAGAAGCAGAATACACTTCCCTGCCCCTTGACTTAGGCCTTATTGCATTAGCTAACAGAACATTAACAAACAAGACTCGAGAGAAGGCTTAAGATGCTGGACCCCTGACATCATCACAAGATGAGCTCCTCCTGGGTAGCTGCTGTCCCTTTAACTTCAGCCTGTCTGAGTAAATATCTGTGGAGCAGATCCATTCCCCAAAAGAAAGAAACCAAGCTGGGATAGAGACACAGTTCAAAACACAAAAGAATTAATGACGATGTTTTAATCCACCAGGCTGGGTGTTTATTATTCAACAGTAGCTAACTAATACACTTACCATTTGCCTCTGTGGTCCCTACCCTCCAAGGACTCTAGGCTAATACTTGCACATTAAAAGCACATTGAGGGATGGGTTGTGGCTCAATGGTAGAGCGCTTGCCTAGCATGTGTGAGGCACTGGGTTTGACCCTCAGCACTGCATAAAAATAAACAAACAAATAAAGGCATTGTGTCCACCTAAAAAAAAAAAAGAACCTTAAAAAAAAAACCACATTGAGATTTTTAGCTAAACAGAATTGACTTCCTAAGACTACTTCCTCCCACAATTCTATGTTCCTAACAAGATGGTTGGGTTTTAAATGACAATTTTTAATTTTCTGTTTGATTGGTTTATCAGTTGGAAATATGTTTGGCTATAAGAGAAAATCCCCAAAACAGTGACTTAGGTAAATAATGGGTTTGTTCCTTTTACAGATGGGTGGGTAGATGAAAGATAGGTAGATATAATAACTTATATGAATAAAGGATTTATTTGATGGGTGAATAAATGCATATACAGAGAAAGATAGAAAATGTTTTATGTGGCTATATACATATATATGTATGTATGTTTATATATATATATGTATATATTATATATATATGAATATACATACATGTATTTTCAGTCTTGCCAGAGGTCTCAGTTTGCTTAGTGTTTTCAAAAAACTTTCGGGTGGGGTTGTAGCTCAGTGGCAGAGCACTTGCCTAGCACGTATGAGGCAATGGGTTCAATCCTCAGCAGCACATACAAATAAATAAATAAAATAAAGACACTGTGTCCATCTACAGCTAAAATTATTTTTTAAAAAAACTCTGAGCTTTACTGATCTTTCTTATTGCATCTCTGTTTTCTAATATATGATCTTAGCTTTTTCTATGTCCTTCTTTCTACCTTCCTTAATTTTCTTTCCTTTTTTTTTTTAATTTTAGGTAATGAACACATTAATGATATCCTCTACTACTGAGCCACAGCCCTATTCTCTCCCTCTTTGTTTTTTAAAACATGCTTTTTCAATGTTCTGGTTATAAAACATCCAAGGTAGTTGTGGATTTGCTTCTGCTGCTTTCTCTTCTTATTTCCTAATGGGTTTTGTGGTGAAGTACCATAGACACTATCTACTCAGGTCAATTTTAAATAAGAATGTTTAGCTTGTAGGGTTTGGGACCATGATAACTGCCTGTATGAAAGCTGGACTTTGGCCATGAATTCTCTTGAGAAATGTTGTTTCCAGTGCCAAAGCACAGAAAGACAACCATTCTTACTGTCCACCTCTGCATGGCATATTTTTACATTCTAGTTTCCCCTTTTCCTGAGGTAAATATCTTCTCGGGTCCCAATGTGAAGCTATAATTTGGTTCTTACCCTGCTTGGACCCAGGTAAATACCTTATAGTTGGTAGAAGCATTAGCGTTTACTTATCTTCAGAGATGATTTTCAAAATATTTGTCAGGTAGCATAAACACAAACCAATCAGAACAGATGCAGACTGTATCCTTGTATAACTTCTGAACATTGATTTGAACTTAGTAGGTTTGTGTTACTGTTTTTTTCCTGATTTTCTTGTTGATTTTCCTGAAAGGTTATCTTCTTTTAACTTTAAATAATTTGTTGCAATAATATTAGGAGACAGAGTTCACAACATTTCTTGGAATAAGTCTAAGCAAGTTTGTTTGGCTCACAAAACAAAGCATCTGATAGTGAGCTGGGATTGTAGCTTAATGTCATATGAATCCTAGTCTCTCTCAATCTTCTTGCTTTGCTAGCCTTAGTATTTGCCACTTCACAGACACATGATGGTGGCTGAACTTTCAAATTTCAGGCCTGCCTAGAGGCAGAAAGAAAACTGGCAAAGCACTTTAAAAATGACACTCAACTTGAAGTCTTAGTGGACACTGTAAATAGTACTGTTCCAGAATTCCCACTGGATGACTTCTTGATCACTTATTATTGGGAAGAACTTGGTCACAAGACCATGCCCAGCTTAATCACTGGCTGAGAGTAAGATTACCAGGATGGTGGTGGGAGTGTGCCTCAGTTGGGTAAAAAAAGGGGTTGGAACATACACCCTTGAACCAGAATCCTTTTAAACAAGTCCTTCTGCACCCATCCCCATTTCTGTACTTCAATATATTTTTTTCTTTGGCTGTTTTCTAGAATTTCCATGTAGACTTTAGAAAGTCCCAATCTCCTCTCTGAACACCCTTCAGTTCTAGAGTCCAAGAAGCAGCAAGACAGGAACACACCTGGGAAACTGGACACTTTAAGCTAAGACAGAAACAATATCAAACAAGTACGTCTGATCCAACAAGAGAATTCATCCTAAATCCAGAAGCCACCGAATTCATGCAGCTGCCTGGATTTCAGGTTAGAATGAATTAACACTTAAAAGAAGTGGGGCCTGGGTCTCTAAACAGACCAAAAGGTATGTGGCGGCTCGGGTCTCACACACCACTACTTACCTCTCTTCTACACTAATAGAGGTGGAAAAGGGAGGTTTGTTGGGGGTGGCAGAACTGGAAGCCACAGGAAAGGTTCTGCAACGCCGCTGCCCAGCACAGTACCAGCCACAGAGGGGGAACACTGGTCCCTTCACTGAGTATTTACTGAGCATCTACGATATACCAAACAGCGGATCRGGCGTTGTTGGAGGCTGACACGGATTTTGACATAATGTCTGCTGGATGACCTGAAATAGGTCAAGGTTTTAAAAGGGTTTGGAACCCAGAATCGTTGCTCCAGTTTCCACCAGTAGACTCACTCCCTAAATCCTACTGAGCACCGCACAGGCGCAGACACCTCGGCGTGCGCTCCTAACGCCCCGCCCCGAGCGGGATGCCGCATGCGCCCACGCTCTCTCGCTGACGCACCCCCGGAAGCACTGGCGGTTTCGGGGGCGGGACCGAGAAGCGTTTCCGGGGGCGGGAGGAGCAGGCTGAGGCTGTCGCGGCGGGCGACAGCTTGAAGAGGCCTGGCGCTGGCGGTTGAGAGGGTGCCTCGGGCGGGGGACGTGAGGCGCGGAGCCCGTGGCAGGTATGGCGGCGTCGGAACTACCGAAGGCGAGGACGAGAGGAGGAAGAGCCGGGGGAGGGTTGAGGACTTCTCCGCAGGCCCTGGCGCGCGCGCCGCCGTCCCCTTCGGGCCCTTCCCGTCGACCGGAATGCTGAAGCCGCGCGGGCGGTTGGAGTCCCAGCGCCCCACGTCCGACTCCCGGGGTCTCTGGCCCTCCTGGCGCGCAGACAGCGACACCGAGATCCCCCCAACCCCGGGCAGCTTCTCGCCAAGGTCACCCCGCGGCAGCGGAGCTCGGCGGGCCCGGGCGCTTAGAGATCCCGCCCCCGTCCGTCCGTTGGCCTCTCGGGGCGCGGGTGGGCGCGGCTTGGCGGCCTAGGGTTCAAGCCACCCAGGCCAGGCCTGGCGAGTCGAGGCTGGAGAAGGGGCTGTGCCAGGACTTCTCTGATCTCCGTTTCCCTCTGTTTCACCCCTGTGGCTGTCTCTATTGCCTGTTGTCACCTGGCCTTTTTGTGTCTTGTCGTGGCCCCTGTYAACCTGGTGTTTCTCCCCACCTTGTCTCTTTGAGCTGTCTCTGTGTGTCCGGACCCTGTCTTTATTTTTGTCTTCTTGCTTCTCTGTTTCTTGACCCTGTCTCTGCCACTCAGCTCTTCCTCTCATTCTCGGCTTGGATGTCATTCTGACCTTTTTGGCCATCTGTTTGTTTCTAACTTTCTGCTGATTTTCTGTCTTTCTCTCTCGTTTCTGATTCTCCCTACTGGGTTTGTCCAGGCGGGGCGGGGCAGGCCTGCCCAGATCTCTGAGCCATGAAGGTGACTCATGACCCCGTGAAACTCCCTGCACTGGTGACATTCTCAGTGACTCGACCGCAGTCTGGTCTCAGCTCTGACAGGTGCCACCCACCCTAAACAAGTATCAGGGTGCGGGAGCACCTGGTGGACAGACAGGAGACCCAACTCAGGACCAAAGCAGCTTGATGAATCTTTTTGCCTTTTATTGCCTACAGTTTTTCCAGGCGTGCACAGCGCCCTACATCCCTTTGCTTTATCCACCTACCCCCATGCCCTCCAGGGCTCTTTGGAGCCTACTCCTTGAGTTAGAACTGGTCAACTAGTCCGTTCTACAAGCTGAGGAAGGGTCAGGTTGAGATCTTCTGCCTTTGGGGATCTCTGAAGGGTAGAAAGATTTCTAGGAGAGCTATGAGCGTAGCTCAGAGATTGTGCCACTGCCCAGTTAAATAAGGAGAAACCTGTTAATTAGGGATCATTCGCTGTTTTACCAAAGTACCATTGGAGGAATGCACCAGATACAAGGACAAATATTGTTTGAGACTTCTGAAATGACCTAAAATAGGCAAATTCATAAAGATAGGAAGTAGGCTGTGCTGTAGTCAAAAGTATTGTTCAATGGATACAAAGTTTTGGGGATGATAAAAAAGTTCTGGAAATGAATTGTGCTCATGGTTGAGCAGCATTGTGAAGATTCTTAATGCCACTGAACTGTACACTTACAGGTTTAAATGGTTTTATGTTATTTATATTTTTCACAATAAACACACAAAAAGTACTCACTGGAGTCTCCTGAAACCAGTATGCTCTTTTTAAATATATTTTTAAAATTTGTTGGGAACATTAGTGGAACCTGTTTATTGAGGCCTACTCTTCACAGCAGTGGGTTAACCTGAGGGCCTTTGAAAAAGAATTTGGTTTAAATCTTCAAGATTTCTTTTTTTTTTTTTAAAGAGAGAGTGAGAGAGGAGGGAGGGAGAGAGAGAGAGAGAGAGAGAATTTTTAATATTTATTTTTAAGTTCTCGGTGGACACAACATCTTTGTTGGTATGTGGTGCTGAGGATCGAACCCGGGCCACAMGCATGCCAGGCGAGCGCACTACCGCTGAGCCACATCCCCAGCCCTCTTCAAGATTTCTGTTTGCAGCAGATTCCTATCCTGGCTCTGCTCCTTCCACCTTCTTCAGAATCAGTGCAGAAATCTGCCTAAGGAGGAAACTTTTAAGAAAAGATTTTACTTTTTATATGAAGAAAACTTGTAAGGTTGGAAAAATAGACCTTTTGTTACCATAATACAAAATTATGTGTTATTTCTTATGGGAGATGCCTTTGTTTTTGTGTTTTGTTCTTTAAGCTTTCAGTTTGACATTAGGGTAGTTTATCAAACTTTCTAATAAGATAACAGCTGAATTAGTATCATATTTCATTGAATCTTAAATGCCATCAATTGTTTTATGTATCACCAAGGAGAGAAAAATACTACCAGTTAAATTACAGTTAAGCTGTAACAAAACTCTTTGCTATCGTTTTGGACTATTTTATTCTTATTGGAAACATTTTGACTTTTTTAGACTTTAAAAAAAGCTATGTCAATACATTTTTCTAATGCATGTATTAAAGGGGAAAATATGTAAAAATAAGTTGCTCATTAAATAAATAAGTGCTCATTAAACTTAACATTCTAACCCCAGCTTTTCTGAATGCTTTTCAGTCTAGAGGTATATCCATAGTTTTTCCACATGGTATCATCCTTCGTGCCATCAGAAACACTCTAGCATTATCTAAGGCAGTGACAACTATTAAAACTGCCACTTGGTGATCACATCCTGATTTCAAACATTTTAAAATGTGAAAAAGGATGTTTCTTAAAATCAGTTGACTCAGTCAGTGCTCTATATTCATTTTTCATGAACTTTTCTTTTTCACCTTATTTGCAAATAGACTTTTGTCTTATTCGTAATTACTGAGAAAAAAACTTTTATATCTTGATATGTAGTTAATAATTTCATTGAAATGAGTACTTCTATTGAATATCTTACCCTGAATTCTCTTGCATATGAAGGTATTGTTAAAAATATCTCCTTGTAGGGTGGTACAGGCCTGTAATCCCAGCTATTCTGAAGGCAGATGCAGGAGACAGGAGGATCACAAGTTCCAGGCCAGCCTGGGTACCTTAGTAAGACCTTGTCTCAAAATAAAACATAGAATGGGTTGGGGATGTAGCTTAGTGGTAGAGCATCCTCTGGGTTTTATCCCCAGTATCACCAAAAATAAAAAACAAAACATAAAAACCCTTGATTTGATTGAAGTATAATGGAAAAATGACATAATTGGAGGTTTAGCCTGTAGAACAATATCTTCTCTTTTGAATTTCAAAGTTTACCTTAAGGGAATGTTTTGCCTTAGAAGTTTTAAGACATTCAGCTGTGATTTAAAATTGAAGGGAGTCATAAATCAAATTTCATATAAAGTAGGTGGCTTGTTCTTTTAAAAATCAAAATTGAGGGACTGGGGTTATGGCTCAGCCGTAGAGCACTCGCCTAGCATGTGCGAGGCCCTGGGTTCGRTCCTCAGCACCACATAAAAATAAAAAATAAAGATACTGTGTCCGACTACAATTAAAAATATATTTTAAAAAAGAACTGTTGTAAAAAAAATCAAAATTGAGTTTATTAAGTTCTTCCAAGTTTTCCAATTAGAAAAAGATACAAGAATGCTTATTGACAATGGTCAGGAGACCAAAAGTACTCCTCTAAAGGATACTTATTATTTTAGAATATTTTCTTGAACCCAGAGCCTGGTATATGCCACTAAGCTGCAGCACTTCCCCCAAAGAATATTTTAATTCTGCAAAACTATAGGCATTGACCATTGCTGGTGTCCTACTTTTAACAAAGATGCTATAGTAATGTAAAATATTAACGTTAAAGGAAATTAGGCAAGGAGTAGATAGAAACTCTGCATTATCTTTGCAAGACAATATCTCAAATCAAAGACTGTAATGTGAGACTATAGCAAGACTCTCTCAAAGAAGATAAATAAAATCAAATAAAAAATACAAATGAAGAAGCTAAGAAGTTTCAGAATGAAAGTTCATCCAACCAAAAACACCAGTCTTTATTAGTTTTCTTTCTGCTACTCACAGAAGTAGTGTTTACTAGGGAGGCACATGTACAGAGTTGGTGGCACCAACATCTCTTACATTTTCAACATAATTTTTCCTTTCAGAAGTCGATGTGATTTAATTTGAAGCAAAACCGAGAAATGAATGTTTCTTCCTCATTCATTCATAACTGTTTTTTGATGGCCATGGCATAAGGAACTTTATCCCAGGAATACAGCTTTACATTAGGTAAGCTATAAAGTTGCCTTTGATACAAATTTTAAAACCATTTACTGTAATTGTTTCTCTTTTCAGCAAAAATAATGATGTAGTTTGTCAAGATTCTTAATGACTTTAGACCAGATAATTCTTCTGAAGAGGAGATGTTGCACACTTAAAAGGCCAATCACTGCCATACTTTGCACTGATAGAGCATTTAATTTTGGGGAAATTTTTTTAATTTTAATCGGAGATTATTAGATTTGGTTACACTTCTGTTTGAATCTTCACGTGCCTCTTATAAGAAGGGTAACCAGGGACAGTCTTTTAACCTGAACTCTGTTTACTTCTCTTTAAATTGAGTATGATGGTAGAACAGAGGTGTTCAAGACCCAAGTTTACATAGTGTGCTTCGTAGATTGTAAAGCATTTGGCTAATGTAAAGAATTTTGGTAGGCATGGAGTGTTGGTATTTTTGTACATTTGTGCCAGACTTTAAATTTACTAAAGCAACATTTACTGTGTTTAAATGTGCTTTCTATAGCAAGCATGCAAATTACCATATGCTCTGATTAAAGAAATCTCTGAAGGGCTTCAAGACAAGTAGCTGGTGGGCCTGGCTTTCCTGTTATATTGCCATATCTGTGCTTTTCAAATGTTTAGTTCTTGTTTAAATGGTGCATAAAACTCGATATACACCTCCTCAGCCAAATAATAAATAGTGACTACTATTAAATTCATAGGAGTTGGAATGGATCTTGAAGGTCTTCTAGTTCAGGGATTCTTCAGTATTATTGCCCTTTATCTTCTGCTTTTCAAAAGCCAGATGGCTATCATGAAGGGTGGAGAGAATGAACTGAGACTGGTATATTTGTTTTAGAAAAACTTGCTGTTGGATTTTTTTTCTTCATTATGTGCAAGGTAAAATAAATTGCTAATATCTAATTAAGTCTGAGGCTAATGAAGTCTCTGGAATGTATGAATATATTGTTTATAACCTAAATTATAGATTGTTTAGGCTATACATGAAAATGGTATTCACTGTTACCTTCCGTACCATTCCACCTCTCAGACTATACTGGGTCTGAACAAGTACTGTAAATTTACTAGATATGTGACTGTGTTAGTCAGCTTTGCATCGCTGTGAATAAAATACCTGACAAGAACAACTTAAAAGAATAAAAGTTTATTTTAGGCTCACTCTTTCACTGGCTAACTCCATTGCTTTATGTCTGAGGTGAGGCAGAACATCATGGAAGAAGGGCATGGGGTGGGGGAGCTGCTTAGCTCATAGCAACTAGGACTGGGAAGTGGGGTTCAGGGACAGATACAGTCCAAGGCGGGTCACCAGTGACCTACCTCCTCCAGCCACACCTCACCTGTCTATAGTTACCACCCAGTAATCCATTTATATTATTAATCCATTAAGTGGATTAATTCACTGATAAGGCTATGACTCTTTACCTTCGAACATTCCTGCATTGCCTAACACTTGAGCTTTCTAGGGACATTAAAGATCCAAACCATACAATGACCTTAGGCAAATAAAATGGGCCTTTTGGTCTCTATTCCCTATTCTGTATAATAAATATTAAAAGAACCTAACAAATGGACAAGTGCTTTGCCTAGACATTGTCCTATGGTGTGGGCAAAGCAGATTATATACAGTCAGCCTTCTGTATCTGTGAGTTTTACATCCATGGTTTCAATTCACCACAGATTGAAAATATTCAGAAAAAAAATTGCAGCCATACTAAACAAGCATAGACTTTTCTTCCTTGTTATTTCCTAAACAATGCAATTTAAAAACCATTGAGCTAACATTTACATTGTATTCAGTATTATAAATAATCTAAAGATGACCCAAAGTATTCTTGAGGACATGTATAAGTTACATGCAAATATTATGATGCCATTTTCTATGAGGAACTGAAGCATCCACAGATTTTGAATTTTGAGGGGGTTCTGGAACAATCCCTTTCAGATAATGGGGGCAACTGTGTGTGTGTGTACGCATGTGTGTGCATATGCACTTTAATTAGCCTCTCCATCAGACTTCCTTTTGCTTTAGTCCATCATCTGATTAACCTTCTTGAACCATGTTTTATAGCATGTCACTCTGAACTTCTCAGCGCTTCCCCCAGTGCCCACATTTAATGCTCAAACTCAGCCTTCAACAGGGTAATCCCATTCATCTTTTCTTCCAACCCCTCACTACCACTTGTAAAAGAAAGTACAGGTAATGATCTGTTCGTTGCCAGGGTTGGTCTTAACCGGAAGAAAGCCAAGGAGATCTCTTGAAATTGCTTTATTTTTCTTTTTTAATATTTTTTAGTTGTCAATGGATCTTTTTATTTATTTATATGTGGTGCTGAGGATCGAACCCAGGGCCTCGCACATGCCCAGCAAGCGCTCTACCACTGAGCCACAACTCCAGGCCTCTTGAAATTACCTTAAAAAAAAAAAAAAAAATATATATATATATATATATTTTAGTTGTAGTTGGACACAATACCTTTATTTCACTTATTTTTTTTTTTTAATATGGTGCTAAGGATCGAACCCAGGGTCTCCCACGTGTGAGGCGAGCACTCTACCGCTGAGCCACAACCCCAGGCCCTGAAATTACTTTTTGATGGCAATTTTACCATAATGTAAGATCTTACACTCCATGTAATGGGACCAGTAGCTCAGTTTCTTCAGTTTACCATACTCAGTGCACTATAGCCATGAGGATTAAAGCAAATAAATCAGAATGCCATGTAACTTACCATTTTCTTTCTATGTTAATAAATGGGACTAGCTTGTAGTTTTTTTAATATTTATTTTTTAGATGTAGATGGGCACAACACAATGCCTTTATTATTATTTTTTTTTTTTTTTATGTGGTGCTGAGGATGGAACCTGGGTCCTGCCCGTGCGAGGGGAGCGCTCTACCGCTGAGCCACAATCCCAGCCCTGGCTTGTAGTTTTTTCCTCTGTTGTCTAGTTTCGATACTAGGATTTCATATAACATTTATTAGCAGATTTTCTCCTGCCTTTATTTTCTTGCCCCTTTCCTCCCCACTACTTTTAACATTTCTAGTTTTATTACATTGTGTAATCACATGTAATCAAATGTGCCCTGTGTATTTTTGTTTGGGGCAGAAATTTATTGACGTTCTCTGTGACCTGTATAAATTTCTTCTTTATCCTCTTTTTTCATATCATTCCACTATTTTGTTTTGTCTTCCTTATACTTCAAAGAGACTGTGTTATCTTAAAGCTGATGGAAAACATCAATTTAAGAAGTGTTATCTAAAATGTATTTTTGCCTATTCCTTGTCGTTTTCTTTTTTGATATTGTAGAATCTATTTGCAGACCCTTGTTGGTTGTATTCTTTTTATTCTTSAGGGAAGCATTCTGTTCAGGACTGAAATTTTACTCCTCTGTGAATTGTTTTGTGTCCCTCATTGCACACTAAATGTTGTTAGAACCAACTTTTAATTAGTTCATAAGCTGGATGTTGGGCTGAGCCTTGTTGACAGCAGGGTTTAGCTTGAATGGAATAGCTGGGGATGGGGGTTAGGCTTCAGGCACTCTCCAGAGGGCTTGGGTTCTGTGTACTTTCTTTTGAACTGGTGAAATTGTGATACTAGGATAGGAGCCTCAGTTGTCTCTTAGGCCCTGCTGACAAATGATGGATGGTCATTTGAATGACTAAGCCCCAACCCTCTGATTAAGATATTTTCTTGCTGAGGCAATGTGCAACCTATGAGATCCTAATATCACCACTTTTGAATGTTGTCAATCTGTAGCACCTGCTTGTCCCATGGCCCACCCTACCCTGGCTTTTAGCTCTGGGCTCTCCAAATAAAGGGGTGTTCTAATCCTCCCTGAGAATTACTGTTACTATACCAGGATTGTCTGGAGCAGGAAGTGAAGTTGCAATGTCTCCCTTCAATCTGGATCCATATCCACTGTATCTTTAATTTCTTAAAGATTGTGCCATGTAGATAACACTGTTCCCTAAGTTTTAGAAATCAGTTGAATTTTTCCATATTTCTGTAAGGTTGTGGTAGATGAGAAGAATTATATGCCTGTCTTCAAGTTGTCTTTTTACTCTGATGACACCAAAATGTATAATAATGGGACATACAACTCTAGAGTATGCCAGGTACCCTCTGAATTCCTTGTGGATTTGTGATTCTCTTATGGTACTTTCATCAGGCTTTGCCTTGCATAAAATGTTGTATAAATGTGTTTTATCTGCTCTACCAGATTTAAACTCTCCAAGGACAACAGTATTTCCCCATAATTCCTTGTGTGTTTTATAGGGTATTTTTAGTGAGTTAATCTTCTAACCAATTGAAACAGCAACTGTACTCAATATAGTTATAGTTGCTTGTGAGTGTGTAAATATTACTAGACAGCAGGAAAACCTATAAGAGAATTTTAGATTTTTATATGTTACTAAAGTCAGAGAATGTGGAGAAATGTTACATTTACCCAAATTTAAGGGCAAAGTTCAGATACTTAGTAAACTTCAAGGATCATTACCACCTTGACAGTTAAAAAATATATGACAATTTTTTCCAGTTTTTTTTTTCTGTGTGGTAAAATATATATATAACTTTCAATTTACTCTTTTAACCTTTTTGTTGTTGTTGTTGTTAATGCTATGGATTAAACCCAGGACTTTGTACATTCTGGGAAAGCACTCTACCACTGAGCTACATCCTCAACCCCATGTTAACCATTTTTTAGTGTACAATTCAGTGGTGCTAATTACAATCAGTGTTGTACAACCAACACTACTATTTTGAAAATTATTTTATCACCCATTAGAAATAACTCCTCATTTCCTAGTCCCCCTTGTAATCTTATCTTTTTTTTATTTTGAAGTTGTAGATGGACCTTTATTTATTTATTTATTAGTTTTAGGTAGACACAATATCTTTATTTTTACGTGGTGCTGAGAATCGAACTAGTGCCTCACACATGCCAGGCAAGTGCTCTGCCACTGAGCCACAACCCAACCCACCATATT